CGGGGTCCCAATCGGGTTTCGGTTCGGGTTCATTCGGGTTTCGAGTTTTCGGGTTCATGAATTTCAGCCCCATTCGGATATTATAAAAATTCGGGTCGGATTCGGTTCGGGTTTAGTCGGGTTCGGTTCGGGTTTAGTAACATGTCCAAGATCCGGTTGAACCCGAAATAGTTTCGGTTTCGGATACTAATCGGGTTATCGGTTCTAAAAATACTAATTTATACTTAATTAAACTCACTATATTTTCAATCATTTTATTAAATTTGTGTATTTAGCTTCTACAAACCATATTGTTCTCCTTCAAAATAATATTGTGAAACTCATCTATCAACCATATAAGATTTGTCAATGAACTATATGTGACAACACTAAACATATCATGATTAATGACAAACCAAAGCCTTGTATGAACGAAATATAATACANAACCATATTGTTCTCCTTCAAAATAATATTGTGAAACTCATCTATCAACCATATAAGATTTGTCAATGAACTATATGTGACAACACTAAACATATCATGATTAATGACAAACCAAAGCCTTGTATGAACGAAATATAATACATAATGAAACATAAAAAATTAAAGTTAACAACTAACAATTCTATAAACATAAGAAGTGATATTTAAACTTTTAAAAATAACATTATATAAACTTCAAAACAAATTTATTCGTAACTTAACTTCAAATGTAATGTCACTCATAAACATTAATATTAACCAAATAACACTATATATTAGACTAAATATTTGAGTTAATTATTTATATCATAACTAATTATTGTAGGTACTCAATAATATATTAATCTTTTTTGGAAACATATTAGAAATTTAGATTGGATATGATACAAGGTTTTTGGAATTTTAAAGTTTCGGGTTCTTTCGGATATCCATTTAAGTTCGGGTTCGGTTCGGGTAATACCCATAACCCGAAATACCGTAAAACAAGATCCATTCGGTACTTATGTCGGGTTCGAATCGGTTCTGGTTCCTTTTTATCGGGTCGGATTCGGTTCGGATTTTCGGGTTCGGTTTTTTTGCCCAGCCCTAGACTGGGGCATCGATGATTTGTTCTGTCACTACTTCTCCTGCTGAGTATTCAGTCTCCCAGGTTTGTAAACTCTCACTGTGTTTGCAAAGTCGCAGCCTTCTTTTTCTGGGATTAGGGCAAATTGATTACAATTTTTTCAGTTAGTACCCAGTGTGTGATTATCGTTTTTGTTCTGAACTAAAATCAGTAGTTTCCAATTATTGTAGGTTCCAATCCTAGATTCGTTTACAGAACATGCTTGGAACTAAATTCTATGACGGCCCTTACAAGGTATGCATTCACTTAGCTTTAGATTGTTTATACTAAAGATTTTTATGTGGTGTTTGATCTTTTTGTTTGTTTTGATTCTGTGAAGAATTGTTCAACATGGAGGACGAATAAGTACATTAATGTCTCACGATTTCCTGGCGGATCGTCTTCTGAAATGAAAGTTTGAGAGCGTCACTTACTGTATTGTGTTTCAGTTGGTTACTGTACTGGGTTCTCATACATAGTACACTTGATTGCTATGTACATCCTAGGATAGAATCAGTGGACTGAATGTTTTTCTGAGGAGTTGAAGAGTCGTTTTCTGGATCTAACTGGCCAACACATGGAATTAGGGTGGATGGAGAAATTTCTAATTTCATGTACTCAAACGTAACTTAGTGACATTGAGAACATTGACAACGACATCGTTGTTATTAGTTCTCATCCTTTCTTAAGCCATTAACCAGAAGGATGCTGAATATAGTGCAATGCAGATACACATGTCTTTGCTACATAAAAAAAGATATTGTTCTGTATATATAATTATTCTTGGTTTTGGAAAGAAAGGAGATATGGTTTCAGTAATGGCATATGAAGACTGTAAACAAATATATAATTTATTAAAATAGAGTTCTATTTTTATCTATTATTAACAAGTCATATTAGACCATCTAAAGAATTAGTTAGTATGACATATTTGATTATTTACATTAATAATTAAACCAACTACAAATTTGAATTTATATTTTAATTATAACAAAATCTGTTGATAAAGAATCCAACAAAATCCTACTAATCTTTTAGATATTTTTTTTGTAAAATCACACATTAATTAATTTCATAATTATAATATAATATTATTATAAATTAATGTTAATTAAATATTTATTAAAAAAATAAAAATAAAAAAATTTATCCTATTCTTTTATAAAGTTTATAAATATATTATGTAGTATATTAAAATAGAAGTACTATAAGAATTAAATATGACAAAACTATATTAAATAGGTAAATTTACCTTTTCTAAATAGTTTCATTTAAAAAAATATCACTCATCTTAAATATGTCTTTAAATTCGTACACTATAATATTTTTTATACAAAAATATATTTATTAACATAGGTTAAATATTTATATATACAACTATATATTATCTTTTCATTTATTTTAAAACTCTCAAAAATGTATTACAAAAATATATTTATTTCTACTATTCATTTGGAGTTCTATTTTTATATATTGAGAAAAAGTCATACTTGGACCACCTAAAATTTAGTTAATATGACATATTTGATTATTTATATTAATAGTAAACCAGCTATAAATTTGAATTTGATGTTTAATTGTAACAAATTCTGTTGACAAATAATCTAACAAAATCCTACTAACTTTGTAAATACTATTATAAATTAATACATAATTAATTTCGTAATTAGCAATATAATATCATAAATTAATATTATTTAAAAAATTATTATAAAACAAGAAAAATAAAATGCTATACTATTTTTTATATATTTAACTTATATTCTGAATTATATTAACATACAAGTTCCATATAAATTAATTATGAAAAAATTATATTAAATAAAGTAAATTGATCTATTTAATTTTAAAATAAATAAATTATCACTCATCATTAAAATTTGTTAAATTTCGTAAAGTATATAAAATTAACATATCTTAAACTTTAATATCAACAACTCCATATATTTTTTAATTGTTTGAAATTCTCAATAGTATTTTGTTAAAAGTAAACAAAAATATAATAGTTTATAACTAACTCATATACTATTTGATAATATTTAATGAAAATACAAATTTTAACTGTAAATTTAATATTTATATATATTATAAAAAAATCTGTTGAGAAATATATTAAACTCTTACCAAAAATTACAATGATTTCTATAAAAATAATGTCTTTATGTAGTAAAAAATTCAAAATCATATAATCTTCCATTTGAAAAATAGTTGTGTAATTTTCCAAAACTTTTTGGACAAAATATACAATATTGAAAATAAATATTCAAGATTTGAATGATAATATTTTAAATTTTGCAAAATATAGAATCATAGAGAATAAAGAATAACTTTTTGAAATGTAACACTAAAGACAACTAATGCAGTAAAACTTAAAGTAATCTTATATTTTGAAATTTTAATTAGTTACAAAAAACTTAATATCATAACATCTAAAAAATATTATATATCAATAAAATATACTAAAAGAATATGATAGATGTTACTATGTATACAATTCACTAAAAGAATATGTCTATATTATTTAAAAAAAAAAGTGTTAGAAAATATATAACACTTAAATAAAAATTATATATTTAAAACATTTATAATAATATCAAAATTTACATTTATAAAATGAAAATTATCCGCACGAATGTGCGGGTTAAAATCTAGTTTAATATTTAAAAATCACTAAGAGTCCAAATTTGCCTCTTAGGGTTAATGATGCTCTTAAGTAAATAATTTAATGCAGAGAAATGCACATGGGTAATAATTGATGTTTGCTCTTCTTCCCTTTATCCGTAACATATTATATATATATGTTTTATAAGAGGGTCTATTTACCAAATAACAAAAATATATATTTAGATTTATGGAGAGAGACATTGGAAGAAAAAGTAGAAAAGAGCAGAGGTTTTTGGTTAGTTGGTGAATTATATTTTTGTGTATAATTGGTCTAATTACTCTTTATAAAACTAACTGATAAAATTATGTTATATTTATGAATAAATGTACAGTCGATGTAATAATCATTGTAAAATATGTTTACGAATAAAATACTGATGATTAGGAAAAAATAATCCTTGCATTATAACAATATGTTTATGAATAAAAATCATTTATTTTTTGAGTGTCAAATAAAATAATATATATAAAATCCAAAATAAATATTGAATGGAAAAAGCGGATAAAACGGTTTAATATCAATTTAAAAAATATTAAATTGTTATTTATTTTCATAACAGAACTTAATTATTTCTAAAGTAATACTTAATCTTGGGTTCATTGAATATATTTTTATAAATAGAGAAAATATGTTGTAATAACTAGCTTAAAATATCTAAATTTCTTTACTAGTTTAAATTATATTGATTTTCAAATTTATACAATGAATTTCCATTCACAAAAATTAAACTGAATTGAAATTAAAAAAAGTAGTTAAAAAAAATCAGTTGAAGTTGAATTGCAAAACATATCAAATGACGATGGAGTGATTTTGCCTATTCTTATTTCTTTAATAATCTGATTCACTAGTGGATAAAAAAAATTATAATGTCACTTTGGGTGTGATTGGTTAATATAAGAGTAATGGTGAAATAATTAAGTGGAAAAAAGAGGAAAGATATTTGAAAATGTGGAGTAAATGTTTCCATTTTTTAAAGTGGGGAGAAAATTTACTCTTACTTGTGTTGAGTTTTCTCCAATTTTTAAAGTAAAGTGGGCAAAGTATTATTCAACTTGATTGGTGGAAAGAAGTGAAAATGAGAGTAAAAGCCAAAGTTAAGACTAAAATTTTACTCTAATAGGTACATTCAGTCACACTCAAAGATTTGTTACATTTATTGAATGGGATGAGAGCTAAGTCTAACCATCTTTTCTTCTCTACCTTCCGTTCAAACCCTTTATAAGTAAATTTAGAATGCAGAAAACAGATGAGCTCGTGACTAACAATGCTGAATGTAGAAAGGAGTAGTAGGTCGACCATCTGTGTCGCCTCATCTCCCAGTCAGTTCAAACCTAACGAGAAGAAAGTGATGATTATAAAAGTGGCATCAGTAGAATCGCTTTTCTTAGTTATCTCGTTCGATAGTAGTTGTGTGTGTGAGAGAGAAGGTTATCATCTCCGGTCAATCGTAGTATCTCCGGCATCTTTTCAGGTGAATAGTTGTTGTTTTTTTGTTCTGCATCTTTCTTCGATCTGTGTGGATCTGTTTCATTTTAGGGTTTATGATAATCTGATATATTTGAGCTATCACTGATCTGTTTAATTTCGGATCTAGTGTTCGTGCGTCTATGTCTAAGTTCGTCTTCAAAATTTATTTTTTAGTGCTTTGTTCTTGTTGCTGCTTGTTTATTTCTTGACTTTTGTCGAAGTTTTGTTCAAGGATCATTATGTGTGATTTGTGAGCCCTAATAGGCTTTCTAGTGTTTTCTCAGGGTTCATTATGTTTAGTGGAAAGAAGAGAACTGATGGTTCATCTGAAGTTGGTGAAGGGTCTGGTCCCCGTGAAGCTGCTCCAGTCTCAGGTCGTGGACGTGGTGGACAACACCAAGGCGGAAGAGGTTATAATTCACAGTCTCAGTCTGGTCGTGGATATGGCCATCCACCACAACAGTACGGTGGACCAAGAGGACGCCAACCACCACAACAGTACAGTGGACCAAGAGGAGGAGGTCCTCCTCGTGGTGGTGGTCGTGGAGGTTCATCCTCTGCTGGACTGCCACACAGACAATCAGTTCCCGACCTGCATCAAGCTACCCCACCAACATATCAAGCGGTATCTTCTCAGCCTACTCAGATGCCGGACCCTCCTGCTCCGGTACAACAATTTGAACAGCTCTCTATTGAACAAGGAGCTTCCAGTCAGGCAATCCAGTCTATTCCATCTTCCAGCCAAATTTTTAAGTTTCCAGTGAGGCATGGTAGAGGACAATTCGGCAGAAAATGCATTGTCAAGGCCAACCACTTCGCTGTTGAGTTCCCTGACAAAGATGTGTTCCATTATGATGTACGTTTTTTGACCCATTTGTTACTTTGCTATTTTTTTTTAGAGCATCTAATGCCTGCCTGTTTTCTTGGGTTTTACAGGTTACCATTACTCCAGAAGTTACATCAAGGGGTGTTAATCGTGCTGTCATGAAGCAGTTGGTCGCCAGGCATGGTGATGAGGACCTCGGAGGTCGTCTTCCGGTATATGATGGTAGAAAAAATCTGTACACTGCACACAAGCTACCGTTTGACTCGAACGAATTCACAATCGCACTTCTTGACGAGGAAGCAGGGCCTGTGGGACATAAGTCAGTTCTTGTATTATTGTTCTTTGGTTTTACTCTATTAACAAACTTTCATAGTAAATCACGTATCTACTCTTTACAGACGAGAAAGGGAATTCAAAGTTGTGATCAAGCTAGCTGCAAGCGTTAATATGTATCACCTAGGAATGTTTTTACTGGGACAACAAGCTGATGCCCCCCAGGAAGCTCTGCAGGCTCTTGACATTGTCCTTCGTGAGTTGCCAACCTCCAAGTAAGTTAACTCATCCTATTTATGTTTGTCACTCTAGTGCTATGCTTACATGTCTCAGCTCTTTTTGTTCTGCTAACATGTTAGGTATACTCCTGTGGGCCGGTCATTTTATTCTCGTGATGTAGTAACAACGAAGTCATTGGGGGATGGCCTGGAGAGCTGGCGTGGATTCTACCAAAGCATTCGTCCTACACAGATGGGTTTATCACTCAACGTCGGTGAGATGGCTTTTTGCTTTACCTTCATTAAAATCCTTGTTGTAATGTCTCAGCTCATGCTACAATTGTCTTTTTCTTTGTAGATATATCATCGACAGCATTCATAGAGCCACGTCCTGTGACTGAATTCGTTTTCAAGTTGCTGAATCGAGAAAGTAGATCCCGACAACCTTTATCTGATGCTGATCGTGTGAAGGTATGATTCATTAACTGGTCACTTATGTTTATGCTTCCATAACGGAAGTGAAATGATGCATTTTTTTAACCGTCCTGTTCACTGACTTTAAACCTTGTTCTGTCAACAGATTAAAAAGGCTCTTAGAGGTGTCAAGGTCGAAGTGACCCATCAAGTAAATATGCGCCGAAAGTACCGCATATCTGGCTTAAGTACTGGAACCACTCGAGAACTAACGTTCGTGTTTGTTTTAGCTTTGTTAATTCAGCATTCCAAAAGAGTGGTGAACCAGGAGAAGTTTTATCTTTCTTTTTGTGTGTTTGTACTTGTTCAGATTTCCTGTTGATGAAAGAAATACACAGAAATCTGTTGTTGATTACTTCTACGAAACATATGGTCTTCGCATTCAGCACACGCAGCTACCGTGCTTGCAAGTCGGGAATTCTAACACGCCAAAGTACCTTCCAATGGAGGTAACCTCGAAATTCATCTTCAGCTTTTGTTAGGTTAGGTTTCCAATATTGCTTATGCTAATAAGCTGTTGTGGTACAGGTTTGCGAGATTGTTGGGGGCCAGAGATATTCAAAAAGATTGAACGCGGGACAGATCACTGCTTTGCTGAAGGTCACTTGTCAGCGCCCCAAAAACCGAGAAGAAGATATCGGGAAGGTTTGTTTCTTGATTTTTAAACTCTCTTTCACGTAAATGTCTAGTTTTTGTGGCCATTCTATCTCGTTAATTGTTTTAAAATCATATAAATGCGTGGGTAAAGGGTGATTATAAATTGGATAGCTTAGACTCTGTTTTTTTTACTTGCATGATTGCACATGTGTTCAACGCAAGTGATTGCATGCTTTTTTCGGTGATAATTAGAGAGGCAGTTCGCCAAGCCAGTGATCTTTTGTACTCTTACTAGCTACCTGTTTACCGTTTTCCCCTGAAATTTTTGGGTAGATGTATCTTATCATTTCAGCTTTTGTTAGCCTGTAGGTACAGTATTCGTATGTTGTTGAAGACTGTTGTTTATTCTTACATGATATTATGTGTTCTGATTGCCCAGACGGTAGGACGCAATGATTATAGTAATGATCCCTATGCTAAGGCGTTTGGCATCAAGATAAGTGAGTCCCTTACTTCTGTTGAGGCTCGAGTTCTGCCTCCTCCGTGGGTATAGTAATCGTCTCTTTTGCTATTCCAGTTTTCTATTCTAACTAAGCTAGAGTTGCAATTTGATTTGATTGTTCTATTCTGCAGCTCGAGTATCATGATTCTGGAACGGAAAGGACTTGTCGGCCACAAGTTGGTCAGTGGAATATGATGAATAAGGTAATTAGATGAAATAGTTATTCATCTGTCTGCCCAGTGCTTGTGCATATGATTCTATAATTCAGTTCTCTTGTTATGATTGTGGGTGTTTTTTTTTACAGAAAATGATCAATGGCGGAACAGTTAGCAACTGGATCTGCATCAACTTCTCTACACAAGTTAGAGACAATCATGCACGTAATTTCTGTCAGGAACTTGCTCAAATGTGCCTCACATCTGGCATTGTAAGTTTTGTAAAGCACAACTTTTATCAATTTTATTAACCTTTCGCACCTTGATGTTTGAATTATTTCGTACCTTAAGGAATTTAATCGAGAACCAGTCCTCCCATCATTTAGTGCTCGCCCTCAGCAAGTAGAAAAAGACTTGAAAACTCTATATCATGATGCTATGGCCAAGGTCTCTAAAGGAAAAGAGATTGATCTCCTTATTGTCATTCTACCAGACAATAATGGATCGTTATATGGTATCAGCTACCCATCATTGTCCGCTTTTACATATAAACAGGTTTTCTAATCGTTGTTTCCTGTCCAAATATCCATTGCAGGTGATCTGAAGCGCATCTGTGAGACCGAACTCGGCATTGTATCTCAGTGCTGCCTGACCAAGCATGTCTTTAACACGAATGGACAGTATTTGGCTAACGTGGCTTTGAAAATTAATGTCAAAGTTGGAGGAAGGAACACAGTGCTTGTTGATGCCTTATCAATGAAAATCCCTCTGGTCTGTGATCGCCCCACCATAATCTTTGGTGCTGATGTAACCCATCCTCATCCTGGAGAGGATTCAAGCCCGTCAATTGCTGCTGTAAGTTTGTTTCTCCTTCAACACGTAGTTCTGAGAAGCATGTTTTTGTTTCTCTGCATGGCCTTGGCCTGATGTGCCTAATCTTATTCACAATTAAATTTTGTTATTTGTTTTTTCAGGTCGTCGCATCCCAAGACTGGCCTGGAATTACTAAATATGCGGGACTTGTTTGTGCTCAAGCGCCTAGACAGGAGATCATTCAGGATCTGTTTAAAGAATGGAAGGATCCTCAGACAGGGGTGGTGATTAGTGGTGGCATGATTAAGTACGTACCTCCCATAGTTCGATCTCTACTCCGAAATTCGTTTTTGTTTTTGACTTCATCATGCTCTAACATATCATTGCATTTTTGTTCTTTACTTTGCAACAGGGAGCTGCTTATAGCCTTCCATAGATCAACTGGTCATAAGCCGTTAAGGATCATTTTCTACAGGTATAAATCTATTCATTTGGCGCACACTTTGCTATTAAAACTGTGTATCTTTTTCTCAAATGATGTATATTAATGTATTGGTAATACGCCACAGGGATGGAGTTAGTGAAGGACAGTTTCATCAGGTTTTGCTCTATGAGCTCGATGCCATCCGCAAGGTAAGACTTGCATCTAACGAATGACTTGGGTTGGGTTGGGTTGAGTGGTAGTTGTCTTATGTTTAAATGTGATTCTAACTGCAACCATTTCAGGCATGTGCTTCGCTGGAAGAAGGTTATCAGCCACCAGTGACGTTTGTGGTGGTGCAGAAGCGCCATCACACGAGGCTGTTTGCTCACAACCACAATGATCGTAATTCCGTTACTAGAAGTGGAAACATATTACCAGGCGAGTGAAGTGATGTTAAAGCTTTTTGGCACGTTTAACTAAATTAGCTACAAATACATTGGATTGGTTTAAAACACTTTGGTTAATTGTTATCTCTGTAGGCACTGTGGTGGATACCAGTATCTGTCACCCTCGTGAATTCGACTTTTATCTCTGTAGCCATGCTGGCATTCAGGTAAATCTGTATATACAAGAAGAAATAGTTACAATATAACATATGATTGTGTGTGGATTAGAGTTTAGTTAAGTGCTTAGAAAATCAAAATTTGATGAACAGGGCACTTCTCGACCTGCTCATTACCACGTGCTTTGGGATGAGAACAACTGCTCTGCAGATGGACTCCAGTCTCTGACCAATAACTTATGCTACACGTAAGATTCATCAGCTCTTTTTTTCAGTAAACAGATGTAGTAGACTCATAGAAACCTTAACTTGTTATAAACTCTACTTGTTTGAGGTATGTAGGTATGCGAGATGCACTCGTTCTGTATCCATTGGTGAGTTTCTTCTCTCTTTATTTGATTTAAAATCGTAAAGTGTTTTTTTCTTTTATATAGAGAGAGATTAGTAATGAGTTTTTATGTTGTTGTTGTAGTGCCACCTGTGTACTATGCTCATCTAGCAGCGTTCAGGGCTCGGTTCTACGTGGCGCCAGGGACATCAGACAGTGGCTCGATGGCTAGTGGGAGCGTGGCACGTGGAGGTGGAATGGGTGGTAGAAACACTCGTGAGACAAACGTGAACGCTGCAGTGAGGCCACTCCCAGCTCTGAAAGATAATGTGAAGCGCGTGATGTTCTTCTGCTGATTGGATTCAGCTCTATCTATCTCTTATTAGCTANCTACGTGGCGCCAGGGACATCAGACAGTGGCTCGATGGCTAGTGGGAGCGTGGCACGTGGAGGTGGAATGGGTGGTAGAAACACTCGTGAGACAAACGTGAACGCTGCAGTGAGGCCACTCCCAGCTCTGAAAGATAATGTGAAGCGCGTGATGTTCTTCTGCTGATTGGATTCAGCTCTATCTATCTCTTATTAGCTATAATGTCTCTCTCTTATCGCCCAAATAAAATAAAAAAGTTGGCTTATGCAATACTCTTATGTTTATTGAAAGCGTGTGGTGTGTACTTAATTAATTACTGAAGTTGTCATAAGTTTGTGGGATTCTTTATGTTTTGTCTACTGAAATGTTTTATTGTTTTAGTTTCTTTTCTTGCAACTATTATGTCCTAATTCTTATTGATATGGGATTGAGTACGAGGAAAGCACATAATGAGCATCAAATAGATTGAAAGAGATCATAACAATTATTTGATTAAGATATTTTTTTAACTATAATGCAGCAATTACAATATTTGAAAAGAAAACGTATGTGCACAAAAAAAGAAAGAAAAGAAAACGTATTTTCCATCATCTTTATCTTTCCTTGTAATGAATCTCAAGCCATGATAAAGATCCAGCAACCAAGAACTTCTTGGGCAATGTCCCTTGCGACGGTGCTAAATACGTGATCGTCTTCCTCTGCACATTAACATCCGTCACATACACAAACCCGGAAACATTACTTGACACGATCTGCTCTGGTTCTTGTGCATACGAGACAGCCAGAATAGAGTGTAGCACATCCCGGTCATCGATACCTACAGGGGTTACCTTCAACGGATCAGAAACCGGTTCAGACCCGATTGGAAGAGCTGATCTTGGAGCTTGTGGTCCACCACCAACACGAAACACTTTCACATCACTAAAGCTACACGTATTAGCATACGGAGATAGTTCTTTCGACAGACCATAGAAATACTCCTGAATCCGACAACTCCTTGCTGTTTTACGGAACTCACAACATCCACATTACTCTTACTCCTCCTCAACTCATGTTTAAGTTTGCTGTATAGCTTTTCTTGACCCAATACAAGAACAACCGATGCGTTGAACGTCTCGATCGCGTGGAGAAGCACATCATCATAACCGTTACTATTGATCCATCCCATCGTGTTGATCACCATACCAGCAGCTCGAGACGCATTGTTCCCAAGAAAACTGTCTCTCCAACACTCCCGCAAGCTCCTTCACCGTAGCTTTGTAGAGTTCAACGTTTGTACCTGGTTTAGTATGACCGTAGTAGTACACGAAGGGCATATCCAAAGGAAACCCTTCTGCTAGATCAAGAGGCGTCTCTATAGGTGTAGTAGTGACAGAGCCAGGCATTGAAACCGAGCCTTGGATAACATCAAGGTCAACAAACGTAGGCTTCCATGCCTCTTTAGCCGCCCAGTTGATAAGCGTCTTTGTCAACGTTCTCTTCCCAGAATCCTCGGGCCCTACTACAATAACCCTAGGTCCTTGAGTAGATTCTGAAGCTTGGGCGACACGTCTTCTTGCGTTTAGGATTGCGTGCACGTTAAGGTAGCTGACCATTTGTGTCTCGTCTGCTGTGTAGTCTGTTTCCGTGGCACCGTCCATCTCGATTGTTGCTCCGTACCGGGTGAAGACGGCGAGTTTGAGGCAGGAAGGGAAGGTAAGCCAGGTTCCGGGAGGGAGTTCGAAGCCGAAAATCTCGGCGGTGCCGTTTAGGACACGGAGTTTGAGAGGCGTGTCAGAGACTTCGATCCTGAGTTCGGTTTCTCTCTCCAATTTCACATGTTTACTTGACCTAGAAACTGTGGCGATCGTAGCGGGTGGATTCATCCACGAAGCATTGTAAGACATGGTTTCAAAGTCTGAGTGGGAGAAAGACTGTGTTGGGAAATATAATAAAAAAAATGTATATCAGTATGCAAGGAGTGAAGGTTTACTTAGACGGTTAAAGACCGACATGGATGGTCAATAGGTACATAGGACAATTAATTTTATTCATAGCTGGGTATAAAGCATATCACACGGTGAGTTAAGTATGTAAATGTATAACTAGATTTTTACATGCGCAAACGCGTGGATGTTTGTTTGCGTTTATAGTTATTTATATAAATATTTTGTTTTCACTTGTAAATTGGTATATATTATAGTAATCACATATTTACGATATGCATAGTAAATGTTCTTCAAACATAATAATATTATATAATACGTGTTTTAATCAAATAGATTGTTTCAATTTTTTTATATTTTACATGTTTTCAAACATGTGTTAGTTTATGCTTCTATATTTTATTGTTTGTTAGATTGGTATTTCATTTTAATATAAAGTAATATAAATAGAGCTTGATTAAATGTTAGTATACTTTAATTTGCAAAAGATAATATAAAATTCGAAATTTTTTTTACTAAAAACTAAACTTATAGCTTCATAAATTAATATTATAAAGAATTTTATTTCAAAAAGAACTTTTTAAACAATTTATTTTTTAAAACAATATAATTTTAAAAATTTACATCTAAATAAATTTATCTAGTATATATAGCGTGTAAATTTTGTTAGGGTATATAAATATTTCATATTACGAATCTGTGATTTTTGTTAATATATTGTCGATGCATTTAACTATTATTGACATATTTCCTTATAAATAATAGAAGATTCATAAACTTATATATATATATATATTGACATATTATGCGTGACTAAACTGGAAAGTGTGGAGTAATTTACCAAAACCAAATTGTTAAGCGTATCTTTGTTATTATAGATATGATTTTTCATAAGATATAATAATGATAAGATTATTAGAGAGTTAATGTAACATGACTTTCTAGTAGTAGTCCATTTTTAAAAAAAATCACACATGAAGTCAAGTCATAACTTCTGTTTTAATATATAAGATATCTTTAAACCCTAAAAGAAACCCTAAACCCTTAAAACTAAACCCTACGCCCTAAACCCTAAATTTTAATCCCAATTTGTAAACCCTAAACCCTAAACACTAAAAAATAAACCCTAAACCCAAAAACTAACCCTAAACCCTAAAACACTCAACCCTAAACCCTAACAGAAATTGTAAATTCTTAACCATAAACACCAAACTTTTAAACCTTAAACACTCAACCCTAAATCCTAACCCAAATAAAATATACTTAAAGAAAACTAAAAACCCAGAACCTTACACCCTAAAACTTAAACCAATTAACCATGACCACTTAGACGGTTAAAGACCTACATGGACGGTAAATATATACTTAGGACGTTCAAATTAATTCATAGCTGGCTATATAGCACGTCTGACGCGTAAAACGGTTTGGTTAACTAGCCGTAACTGATTTATAGGGGGGAGTCTTCCCTATATATCCTAAGTTTACGTTTGATAGTAGTCGGCTACAGAGATTACAAGTATGGAAAGCAAAAATATAAATTTCCTACGGGTGTCGAAGGCAACAACACTGAACATTTTCATCATGTTATATCAAACACTAGTCAACAAAATATATGTAGGTAGAATCGAAGTTTTTGAAGATAAATAATTGCAACTTGGGGTCATATCAAAGTCTAGTATGCATAAATTTCAAACTTCTTTGATTTGAGAAAGCAGTCACCACTTCAACAATCTCCGTAATATCCTTCAAAATTTGTCTTATTCCGTTGGCCTTGTGATATGGAATTAGTAAACCCTAAAAAATAAACCCTAGACACAAAAAACGAAACCCTAAACCCTAAACCAAAACCCTAACAGAAATTGTAAACCCTTAACTATAAACACTAAACCCTTAAACCCTAAACACTCCATCCTAAACCCTGACCCTAATAAAATCAACTTAAAGAGAACTAAAAACCCATAACTCTAAACACCAAAACCTAAACCAGTTAATCATGACCATTTAGACGGTTAAAGACCTACATGGACGGTAAATATATATTTAGGACGTTCAAATTAATTCGTACCTGGCTATATAGCACATCTGACGCGTAAAACGGTTTGGTTAACTAGTTGTAACTGATTTATAGGGGGAGTCTTCCCTATATATCCTAAGTTTACATTTAATAGTAGCCAGCTCCAGAGATTACAAGTATGGAAAGGAAAAATATAGATTTCCTACGGTTGTCCAAGGCAACAATACTGAACATTTTCATCATGTTATATCAAACACTAGTCAACAAAATATATGTAGGTGGAATCGAAGTTTTTGAAGATAAGAATTGCAACTTGGGGTCATATTTTGGTATAATATGAAAATCCTGATACACAACCTCTGTCTCAAAACTTTTCAGTGTAGGTTTAGAAATGGTAGACGTTTAGATTTCGTAGGGTGTTGGATTGTGCGTATCTTGAGAAGATCTTCTATATTTTTCGGTTTACGGTCAGGAGAGATGTTGAGTTAAAAGGGTATCATGGTAAAAAAACACCATCAACAGTTATATTTTTTTGGCCTTTGATATATCACCAATTCTATTATAATTCTATAGTAGGACTACAAATTTTTCAAAAGGAAATAACTAAATTTCCTTTTTAATGAATCGTTATTTCCTTTTCTTTTTCAAAGGTCACGTGTTTATGACATGAGTTTCTTGAGACTCATCTTCTTCCAGAACTCAAAATAGTTTAACTGGATATCAATTTATTTAATCTTATTTAACTCAAAATAGTTTAACAAATTTGATGAAACAATAAAATAGTTACATTTATTTTTATGCAAATATGAATCAATCAACAGCATAAAATAATACCCAAAATAATATAAACATAAACTATTTTTTCCAAAACAAAAATTATCTTTATATATATCGTATATTTGATATTATTGAAATAAATTATATTTAAATGCACGAAACCAATATTTTTAATACACCCCAAATATTAAATTATCTTAAAAACGACAACAAAATCTATAAAACGTCAGCACTTTGTACAATCTTGAAATCATATTTTTTTATGTTGATAAAAAATATTTAAAACTATAAATTTAAGAACAAAATTCTTTGAATTAAAAATTCTGTAAATTAATAGAATATTATACTTTAACATTATTAATTCATATAATTTTCACTGTACATTTCAATTGAAACATGAAAACTAGAAAAAAAAATTGAGATTGATATTACTGCATCTTACCTTTTCTGGATATTTGCGGTAATTAGGTCGCATTAATGTTTATATTAGGAAGCACCGTAGCCTACTGGTTAAGGTTTAAAGGCTTCTACACCAGGTCTGGGGTTCGAACCCCAGGCTACGCAGTTCTTACACCAGGAGGGTTTCAATTCCCGAAGAAGGTGAATGGCGAATTATGCAGATTGGAACGCTTACAGGAGATCTTCAGCATGGCGCAAGGGGTACCGTCAGGAATGGATCTCATAGGGCGGCTCAGGATGATGCAGTCAGACGTGAATCCGCATAAGGCAGGTAGAATTGTCGGCTGTAATATCGTCTATGTAATATTTCTCATAGTTTGTAATGCATGATTATCCAGTGTTAAAAAAAAATAATGTTTATATTATCATTTCACTGATTTATGCCTTTTTGTTATTCTTTCTTTTATAGTTTCCAAAAATGTGGGATTTTGACTTCCCTTGAAGCTCCCTTTATTCTCTGTTTTCGTCTAAACAACAACCATGGATACCTCTCTTCCACAATTGCCTTCTCTCTCCGGTATACTTAAACAAATTCAAACTCCTCTTGTGTGTTTATATGTCTTCATGTAATGTTCACTTTGTTTTTTTTGTTTGGTATGTTGTTGTTCAATGAACACAGAGATTGAGTCTCGGATGCAAGTAATGCGTCTGTCTGCTCTTGAAGATAACCAAACCGGTGAAACTTTCTCTCAGCGCGCTGAATGGTTTTACCAGAGACGTCCTCTTCTTCTCTCACTCTGTCAAGATCTATTTGACGGTTACGCCACTCTCTTGAACCGTTACAACCAGTCTAAACCACAAAACCCTAAATCTGTTTCTCATGAAAATGACTCCAATGTTGATACAGACATCAGTTCTGAAGTTGAGAGCCTCTTGTCCTTTGAACAGACGCAAATCACGGCTTGTGATAAGCAAAAAGTTGATGAGTTAGTCTCGCAGCTCGTGACCGCAAACTTGGAAAGAGATATGGCGCAGGACGAGCTGCTTCGCGGTGAACAAAAGTTGAGAGAGGCTTCCAAGAAGATTGAGTTGCTCAAGAAGCTAGTGATGTTGTTTGACATGGAGAAAGAAGTAGCTGTGGAGGAAACTGTGAATCTCGGATACAAACTCACTTCTCTCTTGGAAAAGAACAGAGAGCTAGCAACCGAAGCGCTGTTCATGAAAAAGGAAGCAGTGAGGCTCGCTAGGTGCGTGCTAAAGATGAGGGATGAACATTTTCGCCAGGTGTGTGTTCTGCAGAGCGAAATGTATGCGCTGCAGTCATCGAGAGAATCTGTGTATGAAAATGTATCCTCACCGAGCTGCTTTGGGTTGGATAAAAGCAAGAGCAAGAAGAGAAAGATGAGTGAAACAAGAAGTGAACCAGGAGAGAAAAAGAGGAGATCCAAGTGGTTAAAGAGACTTAACCCGTTTGTCAAATGCAGCAGCGTTAGCCCATCGCCTGCTCTGTTCCATCAATAAAAAGAAGTCTACTCTTTACATTGAATTTTTTGCATGACTCATTAGGTTAGGTGATGCATAATAATGACTGCTTATGTTCTACTTGCCTTGTTAAACATAGCAGCTCAAAGACTCTTCTGATTCAACTTGCTTGGTTGATTTAAACGTGGATCATGTTTTTTTTTTAAACTCGTTTCACAGTTGGAAGGTTTGAAAAACATATGCATTTTCCTTCACATCTACCAAACCCTGAAAGGCTGAAACATAGTATGATTCGATTGAAAAGGATGCAAGAAATAAGGCATAACAAGTAATAACAGCTGATAAACTGAGATTAGGACACAGATCTGATGATCATAACAAGCTATTCATACAAGTAAATGACAAGCATCCCAAGACGAAGGCTATGGATTCCAGAAATCTATCATGCAAGTAAGCATTCTCAAGATGTTCTGTAGAAACATCAACTTAACCGAGCTTGTGCTCTCTAATGTTTGCCCTATTTGCTATAACAATCTACGTAATCTGAAACTACAAGACTTGGATGAGTTATAAGGTTTCTTCCATTTATTGTAACTATTTCTTGTTTACTGTGTTGTCCTTTCATTCTTTCATTGGTTGTTTATACATTTGCATCTATGTGGATGTGACTTCAGTGTTTCATTCTCCTTTCTAATATATTTAGCATTATGTCAATGAATGAACTATCTATGTTGTATTCAGTAGTTACTACGATAAGACCTGTGTATTGTGAATAAATTTATATTAAAGTTATTTAAAAATATTATATCAAAAAGTAAATCTATATTCTTGATTAAACAATTTTTTTAATTTTTTTTGTTAATTATATAATTTGTTTACTAATGACCTGATTTCATTTTTAAAAATGTTTTAGGTCAAAATACCACTTACCGTAAAAAAACCTAATGTTTAGGTAAAAAAATATTAGGTCTATTTGGTTACAATGAAACTATGTTAGCTCAGTTTTATATCAAGATTTTGCAATGTAAAAATGATTTATGGTTATGAGAAGTTTACGCTCACGTGCCAATCCTATCTATCTTCAATATTTTTCTGTTTTTGTGTTTTTGCTAATTTTGGTTATTGCTCGACATAAATATTGATTTTGAAGTTTATTCTCATTTCTTTTGTTTGTTTTGGTCTAAAATTTAGATAATGGTTAAGATTTAAAATAATTAAAAAGATACATACTTAGGTTAAGATCTGCACTTTTTGTAGAATAAATATTTTATATTTATTATTTATTTTATGTCTTTCTACATATAATGAAATAATAAAATAATAAGCATATATTTGAAATAACTAAGAAATCAATTACTATTATATAATAAATTGGCGTGTGCATATAAGTATAACGATCACTCTTGTTTATTCGCAATTGATAAGGGTTTTTACACCTTAGAGCAAATCAAAGTAGTATTTAAGATTGTCGAACCACAAGGAACTAGTGATCTAAACACTAAGAGTACACAAACTTTCCTAATCTAAGCAAATAAGAGAGGTGGATGATTGTAACAAGCTAAGATCCTAAAAATATAAACAAAGGTGATTTCAAATCCAATCAAGAAATAAATACAAGAACACTTTCAATCAAATGATAAGGTAGAATCCATGGGATTAAGGCAATTGATCTAAAGCAATTAGAGTTTCAATCAAAATGTTCTTTAAGTCTAAACAACTTAACTAAGCAAGTCCTAGGTCTAGGCAAATGCTCATTTGCTTTCATTAATCAAACACAAATGATCATTGGCTTAATTAATTCAAGCAATCATTAGGATTAAGTTTAATAACTATCTAAAACCCCTAGATACAAATGGTCATTGGCTAGGTAGTCTTAAAGCTAAGAAGAGTTGGTTCAGTCATTTAAACATACACCTTGTGGGCAGAAAATGACTAAGGTTCAATCCTAGAGTGATCAAGTCTAGAATAGCATTAAACACACTCTACTAGCAAGGAAACACTTAGATCTACACTTAATCACCCTAGATCCACCTAACCCATGAATTCTAAAAGTGTCTACTCTTTAATCTCCATGAGAAACCTTAAATCCATGATGGATTCAAGGTTAATCATGTTAATGAGAATGAGAAACAAGATATAAGATGAGATACTTCCTTAAAATGATAAAAAGATTCAAGGTTTTACAATTAGAAACAAGTTCATGAGAGAAAATGAGATACTTAAGGGTTTTTGGGGTCTAAAACTATATGTAGGAGGTCTAAACTCGAGTTGGTTTGATCATATTAAACCAAAGCCAAACCGGATTAAACCGGATTTTAATTAAAACTTGGTAAATGACCGAGCTTTTCTTCCCCGTCGCGGTCCAGCTCACCTCGCGATCACAACCCGCGGTCATCATCTCCATTTCGCGGCCTCAATCTTCCGCGGTGCTCCCTGCGAATTCTCCCTGTTGGATTCGTCGACGCACGGCCGCGACCGGATTCATCCTGCGGTGGTTAACCCGCGGTCATCTTCTTCGTTACTTCCGTAAGTCGCTATGAGCTACAACACTCAAGACTAACTTCTCCAAATCCCGAGTTTGATGACCCGTAAAATCTCTCCGACATGGCTCGTGGTCTTTGTTGTCGACTGCAGCCACTGAGACAAAGCTTCTTCGTGGCCGAGCTCCTCCATCTCCGTCGATGTCGCACCCTCCTTCCTCGTCATGGCTTCCTCGATTCCACCATGAGGGTTGGTTCAAGCTTCCTATCATCGAGTTTCATCATCTTCGTCAAGGTTTTCACCGTGCCAATGCTCATCGTCGTCGCTTCCCGTCACGGATCCAATTCGGAGCCCTCCTCCACGCCATCCACCATGGAAGCTTAACGCCGTCTTCTTTTCTCTCTCCTAGCCGTGCTCATCTCCGTCGTATTTGGGTCGAGCTCGTGCTCCGGTGCTCGAGTCTCATCGTCGGAATCGAACAGGGTCGCGGGTCGCCGTCGTCAAGCTCCGCATCGGAAGAGAAGAAGGATCGGAGGCAACTCCTCTAGAGCCCCCAAATCTCAATAGCAAAATCTCCTATGGGCTCCATAAATCCCCTATGCCACCAATTCATTGACTGCACTTGAATTGACCATTTTGTCCTTTCTGAGTTGAAATAAAAAATTAATAAATTCGATTTATTATGGTTGGGTTGGTATGGATAATGGTTTGTTCGGTTGGTATGTATAATGGTTTTAGTTTTGGTTTTGATTCACGGTTTGGTTTTTGATTCAATTGAAACCAAAAAAAAAAAATGAAATTAAAAGAATTAAAAACCAAAATAGAGCTCATCCATATCGAGCTTGCTCGTAGCTTTCCACTCCCCGTAGCTCAGCTTTCCACACCTCGACGGAGCTGTCAACATCGGAGTAGTTTACGGCGACCCTGACGGACTTCAGCGTTTCCACCGGCGAGTACTCCTTGGAGATAGGTGGTAATGCAGCTTAGTTCTTTTGTACTCCTCGAACTACATTGGATAGAAATAGAAATAGTAATTGGATTAGATGAATTTGATTTGGTGCAAACACTTAGTGTTCTGGGTCGATTTCANAGTACTCCTTGGAGATAGGTGGTAATGCAGCTTAGTTCTTTTGTACTCCTCGAACTACATTGGATAGAAATAGAAATAGTAATTGGATTAGATGAATTTGATTTGGTGCAAACACTTAGTGTTCTGGGTCGATTTCAATTAAATTGGTATACAAGGGAAATATGTGGTTGAATGTATCGAATTGAATTGTAAGTAGGTTGGCACAGAGATCTCATTATCGTCCTGGGGAAGACGATTGAACTAGGTAAAACTTAGTATAACTAGTAGAACTGATGATTGAAGTATACCAGAGGTAGGTAAAACTCAGTATAACTGAAGATAACTCGGTAGAACTGAGAACAAATTGTATAACAAAAACTTTATTTTGTTGTTTTTACAGGATACAATGGCGAAACATGTGAGCGTATTTTTCAAATTCAGAGGGCGCATGTATAGTGTAACCGTGAAGACTACAGTAGATGAAATACGTTTGGCAATGCTGGAAGAACGAGTGTATAAAAAGCTTGCTTTGGATGAAAGTATGGTGAAGCTGTCATTGTCATATAGACCGATGGTGGTTGGTTGTGAGCAACAGTTAACTATTTGTGATGATGAGGATTTGTATGTTTACCTAACAACCATTGATAGAAAGAGACGTAGATGTCTTTTGTTAGTGGAGGAGACAAGTAGATCGGATCAGCTAGAGAAACTGTCTAGAGTGGGCAAAAGTTCGTTTGGGATGAACTACGAAGTGCTGGAGGGAAATGTTGATGAAATTGGACCTAATGCCATAACTCTGTACGTAGAAGATGGGCAAGAAAATGCACAGAAAGAGGTGATGGAGGCAGAGAATGGTCATGATGATACAAGAGGAGATAATTTTATGGAGACGAACACTACTGCTGAGACGGACACCACTGCTGAGACAAACACCGCTGCTGGTGATACAAACACCGCTGCTGAGACGGAGACCGCTGCTGGTGATACAAACACCGCTGCTGAGACGGAGACCGCTGCTGGTGATACAAACACCGCTGGTGAGACAAACATCGTTGCTGAGATGGATACTGGTGTCGATATGGCAGATATGACAGATATGGCAGATAAGTATGTTGACTCCGTTGAGCAGCAGCTACCTCTGATAAAAATTAGTCAGGTTATAGAGAAATGGGAAGATGGAATGTGTATGAGTAAGCGTCAGGAATTTCCAAGCAAGAAATCAATTCAAGAGGCTGTGGATAGAGCCGCTTTTGGTGAATGCTTTCGCTATGTTACTCAGAAATCGGATCGCAAACGATTGGTGATAAAATGTGGTGTACCAAGCTGTAAATGGGGATTGAGAGCTGCAAGGGTTCCAAATACAGAAATCTTTTCTATTAGGAGGTACACGGGTGTGCATACATGTTGTCGGACTACTCAAAGCAAAATCAGCAAGAGCAAGAGGAGAGGCTCAGCAGAATTAGTTGCTTATTTTTTGAATGAGGAATTTCCAGGAAAAGTGAGAACTCCTGTTCCGAAAGATATCATAGAGCTGCTAAAGTTGAGACTTGGGGTAACAGTATCATACTCCACAGCACTGAGAGGGAAAAATCTAGCTATTTCTCATTTGCGTGGTAATTCAGAAGACTGCTATAGAATGCTTCCTAGCTACTTGTACATGTTAGAGCAGGTCAATCCAGAAACAAAAACAAGTTTGAAGTTGGATGAGGCTGGTAAGTTCAAGTACCTCTTCATAGCGTTGGGAGCATGTATTGAAGGGTTTGTGGTCATGAGGAAAGTGATAGTTGTGGATGCCACATTTTTAAAGAACGGATATGGTGGTGTACTAGTATTTGCTAAAGCTCAAGATCCCAATCGTCACCATTATCCCCTTGCTATTGGTGTACTGGACGGTGAGAATAAAGCTAGTTGGAATTGGTTTTTCGAGATGCTCAAAACTGTTATACCAGACTCTTCTGAATTAGTTTTTATGAGCGATAGAAACCCGAGCCTCATCATGGCTGTAGCTGATGTGTTTCCACAAGCTCACCATGGGCATTGTATATGGCATTTGGCACAGAATGTAAGAAGTCATGCTTGTAATACCAACAAAGCCGTAGTCGGATGGAGATTTATGGAGTTAGCGAGGTGTTACACGATGGCAGAATTTGAGTCTACTTATGCAACTTTTAAGGTGAGATATCCTTCGGCGTACAAGTATGTGGAGGAGCAGACTCAGAAAGACACTTGGGCAAGGGTCTTTTTTCCACGTGACCGATACAACTTGGACACTAGCAACAGTGTGGAGTCTATGAACAACACATTTAAGGACGCAAGGAGGTATGCCTTAATACCAATGTTGGATACAATCATCAAACAATTCTCCGACTGGTTTAACGAGCATCGCAAAGACGCTGTGTCTGGATCGATTGATACCAAACTGGTTCCTCTTGTCGAGATACACTTGCACAAGCTATGGGCGAAAGCTGATAAAACACCAGTGCGTGAGTTAAATAGTTATGAGCTTGAGTTCGAGGTAACAGACAAGGATGATGGGAAGCTATATTTGGTGAACTTGAGAGGGAAGACTTGTACTTGCAAGGTGTATGATTATGAAAAGTATCCTTGTCTACACGGACTTGCTGCGTACTTGTATTTGCTTGACATTCACGATGCTCCAGACCGTCGACGTCGTGAGAAAATAGAGTATCATGAGTTGTGCACAAAATATTACTGGGCAGAACTTTGGGCACTGGCTTATTACAAAACCATCTATTCTGTCCCGGACATGTCTGATTGGAATGTCCCAGATTATATCAAAGAGATGCAGGTCATACCGCCAGAGCGCCTCAAGAAGAATTATATTAAAAAACCATCTATTCTCTTTTGGATTTTAGCTTATGTAAAACTATGGAATACTCTGCGACTACTCTACTGTTTGTTTGAATTATATTTTATGGAATTTATGTCAAATCCATCTTTTAAGAATTTTAGTTGATATAACACAATCCTTGCTGAGATTTTCTCTTATAAAAATTAAAATGTCAACTTAAACATATTTTAAATGAACATTTACGAAATGGGTGATTGTTTAAGACTTTCTCTTATTCATTCCATTGTCTTTCCAATAACACTTTCTTAGTAACAACAACTTATAAAGGACTATTCTACGAAATGGTGATTTATAATAATTTATTGCACTAATCACGAATGATACACATGCAAATGACTAAAAATGAAAAGTAAAACTGCCATAATTGATTAAAACTATAGGTAACACTAAAAACATTCAAAATCACGAAAAGTAGAACTATGAAGAATATTGGTAATACCACAAACTTCTGTAAAACTAAGTGCAAGTTTTAGGAGGGAAAGTTTTGGCGCCTAAACAAATAAATCCAAAATATTTCAGTTTTTTGGTCAGAAAAGCAGATTCCCTCTCTGCTCTCCTTGTGTTGTCGAGTCCTGACCTCCTTTCACTCACTCACTCATTCCATTGTCTCTCTCTCCTCTCTCTCTACCCTATCTTCTTAAAACTATCCTCTCACTCTTCTTAAATCTGACCTCCTTTCACTCACTCATTCCCCCAAACTTACTCAACTGAGACCTTCTCTTTCCTTTCCATCATGACTCATCCATACCAGGAAATGAAGGATATGAAAAGGCTGAAGCAACATTACGACATGCTAGGGTTCGTTGCCGATGCACAGTATGGAATTCCAACTCGATGCCCATGTGGGGGCGAAATCAAGCAGGAAGTTGTTTTGAAGGCAAAGTATCCTTCAGATTTCGACACCTTGCCTGGGAGAAGGTACTTCACCTGCAAGTCGTACGAGGTAATTTTTCTCTGATTCAAACGATGTAATACTGAGTAAAACCATGTTATACTGAGTGAAACTATGTTGAGTAATTCTGGGTGAAACCATGTTATACTTAGTAAAACCATGTTATACTGAGTGAAACTATGTTGAGTAATTCTGGGTGAAACCATGTTATACTTAGTAAAACCATGTTATACTGAGTGAAACTATGTTGAGTAATTCTGGGTGAAACCATGTTATACTTAGTGAAACTATGTTGAACGTGCAGGACGATGGACTGCACTTTCGTCAGCCATGGGCTTTCGGTGTTGAGCAGGAAGTCGAGAAGTTAAGGAGGGAGGTGAATGATATGGCTGAAGAGATTGCAAAGCTTAAGAGGCTTGTCAATGAGCACATCTCAGGAGAATGAGCTTTGCCTTGCTTATGTGTGTTTGTGTTTGCTTGTGATGACTCTCTCTGTTGTTTTATGTTGTTATATGTTTCGGATAATACAAGTCTTTGTTTGTTAAGGCTTGTATGATAATAATGTGTCAAAACTTATGATATGCCTTGACTTATGTTATGTTTAAGTTCATGTTAAATTCTATTATGGAATGTTTAGTGTTTAGTGATAACATAATTCATTATTCACAAACAAAAAAGAACAATAAATTGAGGCCAAACAACCAACAACCCTGGCCCACTCGGTCCAACTCTCTCTCTTTTCCTTTAAAATCGTGTGTGAGGATATGCCTCTAGGTAAATGTGAAACAACAAACAACACAACCAAATCTCTCTCTCTCTCTCTCTCTCTCTCTTCTTCATTTCATTTCTTCATTTAGCAGAGAAATTAGGGTTCTTGAAACATGAAAGCCGAAATATCATGTTCCCGGAGAAAGAGAGACTTCCTTCGTGGTATTCCATCACACTGCTGGTGTGGAAGCCCTGTCTCGGTATTTGTTTCGAAGACAACAAGGAATCCTTTTCGAAGATTCTATCGTTGTGAAGTAGCTATGATGGTATGTTTTGGCACTTTCGAAATTGATGAAAATTTATTGTTTTAGTTTGTTTGATTTAACTGAATAATGCTTGTTGCAGAGAGAGGGTGAAGCTCATCTCTTCAAGTGGTTTGATGAAGCTTTGGTTGAAGAGGTTTCAATGGTTGAAGCAAGACAGACCACTGTTGAAGAAGATTTAGAAGCAATGATTACTACAGAGTTTAGTGGAACTAATGGAACCCGTGAAGTCAGAGAGAACACTGGATGTGTAGCTGCTATTTCATGGCTTTGTTGTAAGTTTTGGTAATTGTCAATGGAGGTTCTCAATGTTTGTTGTAAGACGAGGCAAAAGACTTATGTTTATGGAACTATGTGTCTCCACTACTATTATGTTGTTTTTGTTGTTTTGTCTATGTTTTTACTTTTCAAGACAATTATCTAAAACAAACAAAGGTCCTTAAATTGCCTAAATCAGAGTCAACAAAAAACATACAAACCCCCTTAACTTGTATCTGTTCTCCAACTTACTTGACTCTTGACAAAACAACAAAAACATACAAAGCCTTCACACTTGAACCCATTTCTTCACTTCTTTCTTGCTTTCTCTTTTTCTGCTTCCTTCACAAAAGCCTCTAGCGGTTCCAATCTCCCACCGAACTGATCAACCTTCTTCTCAACTCTCTTAATTACTGTCATCATTTTCTTCAGGGTCTTCATCACATCTCCCACTTGATTCGACTGCGCAGTTACCTCAACTCCATCTTGGGCCTCTACCGTATCTTCTACCTCTTCTTCCACTCTTTCCCGAGCCGCAACATCTTCATCGAACATGTCTTTGAAAAAAACCTTCAACCCTTCATCTATACGCTTATCCCAGCTGTCGACTGCTAGATCAGCCACATCAACATCGTCTTCATCTTCCATAATATCATCCAAGAGATTGTCTTCATGTCCACTACTGGTGGGGATGATGCTGTGAATATCCTGTACAAACAGAAAAAAAATTGTTCAAACTTCCAAAAATATTACCTAAGTAATACCTTAGTTCTACCATACTTCTACAATACTTGTTCAAACTTACCAAAGTTTTACCTAAGTAATACCTTAGTTCTACCATACTTCTACAATACAATATTACGTAAGTAATACCTTAGTTCTACCATACTTCTACAATACTTGTTCAAACTTACCAAAGTTTTACCTAAGTAATACCTTAGTTCTACCATACTTCTACAATACTTTTTCGAACTTACCAAAGTTTTACCTAAGTTATACCTAAGTTATACCTAAGTTCTACCATACCACTGAATAACTATAAAACTTACAGTATCGTGACCAAGTTCCTTGTTTATCAGTGCGAGTGACATCCCTTTCATTCCATTCCGTTTGTATGTGTACCTGCACATCCTCGGACACTTCTTGTCAGCTCCGTCAACAGGTTCTCTAAACAGATTTCCCAACTTAGGAATTGCCTCGAATGCAAGAACCTACAAACACAACATTTTAAAATAAAATTTCTGGCCAATCAAACAAAATTTGAATTTCATTTTCTTCTCTTACTTACCTCTAGTGGAACACAAAAACCTGGTAGAGGCCATAATGTATTCTCTTTCACCACCCCTCCAAAATGCTCCATGGTGTGCGAGATCTGCTTCAACATGTAATAAAACGAGTATCTCCCCCATGGAAAGGTCATGCAGAAGTCCAGATCATCAACGGCTCTCTGGAAAAATTCCAATACATTTGGAGCTCCTTTTCCAACCTTCGTTTGCGCGCAAATGACACTTCCTAAGAAGAATAGAACTGCCATCTTCAGTCTATCTCTATGGGGTCCCATGTTCACCAGCTTCTCTTTCACATCCTCCAACCTTATCAGTTCTCCGTCCTTGAAATGACGATTCACAAACTTTGTCCCACCACGCTCCTTGTAGTCAAGAGGATAGTTGCAACAGTTAAATCCGGATATCAACGCGTGTTCCCTCAGCCCATAACGGATGGGAACACCATTGACAATAAACCATACTTCTCTCCGCTTACTGCTTTCGGCTGTCCTCACCAACAACATCCACATACCCTGAAGCTTGTGGTTGCTCAGACTTTTCATGTGGAAAACGTGTTTGAATTGAGGATGCTCCTCAAACCAGCTCCTCTCCACGTTAGATAGCTTCGGTTTCAGCTCCTTGAGGGTCTTAATTGCATCTACTATCATACACCTTGTCCCAACTTTGATTCTTTTCTTGTACTCAGATGGAGGAAAGAACATTTTTTCTGGTTTGATGGCCTCAGTTTCCTGCAAAAAAAAGTCAATTTTAACATATTTATAGCACTCATACATCAAAACTCCAATTTATATTCCTAACATTTTCAGTATTACCTAGTATTCCTATGTTTTCCTAGTTTTACCGAATAATCTCATAGTCTTACCATGTTTACTTAGTATTACANAGATGGAGGAAAGAACATTTTTTCTGGTTTGATGGCCTCAGTTTCCTGCAAAAAAAAGTCAATTTTAACATATTTATAGCACTCATACATCAAAACTCCAATTTATATTCCTAACATTTTCAGTATTACCTAGTATTCCTATGTTTTCCTAGTTTTACCGAATAATCTCATAGTCTTACCATGTTTACTTAGTATTACAAACACTATTACTCAATATTCTTTTGTTAATTTGTTACCTCTCCATGCTCTGATACTGCTGAAGTCTGGGCCTCCGCGGTCACTTCTGTTGTTTGCTGAATATTGTTTGCTACATCCTTTTCTCTTGCTTCCTCCTCTGATTCGCTTTCCTCCTCTGATTCGCCTTCTTCTTCTTGCTCTTCTACTTCCTGACGGACTTCTTCTTGTCCTTCTTCACCATCTTCTTCTTCACCATCTTCATTTGAGATAGTCGCTTCAGAGGATTCTTCATTATCGTTCTGGGAAAGTTCCGATTGAGCTCCACTTCCAGTCGCAGAATCTACAAGAACATTTAACCCCGTCTCCTCCGGAGCCGTCGCATTCTCCGGAGCCGTCGCATTCTCCGGAGCCGTCGATGAGGATGGAGAGGTCGTCCTTACAAACTTCACTTTTAAACCCTTCGTTTGTTTCTCTTCGTCAGTTTGTTTTCGCTTACCCAACCTTGTTTCTACCATCTTTGACAGATCGAGGCAATTCCTCCGGTGATTCGATTGAGTGGAGTTAGTGAATGATGAGTTCGTCGTTCGTCGATTTTGAAAGAGAGAAATGAGATAGAGAGGAACTCGATTTGGTTTGGTTTGAGAATAGAAACTAGGGTTTTCTGTTTTAATTTTAAAATTTGGTTGGATGGGTTTTCTAAAACCGACATATTTGGTTTGGAAAGTTTGGTTAGACTGGTTAAATGGTTAGACCATTTCGGTTTGATTGAATTCCCAATTTTGCCGGGTCGGGTGGATTATACCCAGGTATAAATTGTAAATATCTCAACTGGTCACGATTTTTGTGTCATTTACATATTTTCCGAATTTAAAATAATTAATTTTATTTTCTGTTTTTAGATGGGTCTTAGGGAGATTGAGTATTGAGATTTGGGGGCTCTAGAGGAGTTGACTCGAAGGATCGAGCACAACAATGGTGAACTTTCAGCTATTTTCAGATCTGGTCCTTCCATCTTTTTATTCTTTACAAAATGGCCTCCAACCTTATAATTTGCAGAGACACCCTCTCAAAATCAACCCATGAACTTCTGATTGTGCAATAAAGACCCAACGAATCTTTCTATTTTACAGCTTTGGTCCCTGAACTTACTGTTATTTTCACATTTGCCCCAACACTTCCAATTTCACAGAAATATCCTTATGATTTCGCCTTTAACTTCCAAATATGCACTTTAGACCCTGATTTATGAAAATGAACAAATATATACAATAAAGACTTCTAAATGCAACCTAAATGATCAATATGAGCTAAGATGAGATATTAAAAGCCTATAAAAACATGAGATATCATCAATCAGGGTAAATAAATCAAAACAATCAATCTAATTTATCGTATTAATTTAAATATACCATATTAGCTAGGGATATGGATCCCTATCCAATTCCGGTTCCATTATGGTATTTTTCCTTTAGAAGAGATAGTCTATATTCGCATATGTGCTTTGTAGTGGAAACAAGGTAGGGCTGGTAGACGTAGATGATAAGGCCCAAGCTTGCATTGTAGGTACACTGAAAGATTGCATGTACAACTGTTTCTTCTGTCCCCACATAGTGGACAGTGATTATCACATCTCATATGTCTATAGTTCAAGGTACTTGTAACAACCACATGACCTGTTATTAATTGCCACATAAGATGTCACATCTTTTGGCGTGTCTTGACCTTTCAAGCATGTGTTTGGAGTTTTGTGATACTAGGTTCACAAACTATATCTTCCTCCTCCTTCATCAATATATTCCGTGCAATCCAATATCCATATTTGACTGCTATCTATTTCTTGTATAGTTCCTGCAATACGTGTCCCTATGATGTGTTGAACTAATGGACATACTCCTTATGAGTGGTATATCAGCAGCAACTACATAGTGCTTCAGTTGGCCCACATCCCAAGACATTGTTTTTTGATTAATAAGATCACTCACTCTCATGTTCGGATGCAAAACCAATGCAGATGGGGACGCTGGTCTCGTTGGGATGGTAGGAATTCATGGATCCTCCCATACTTTCACCTCATATCCCGAATGTATTTTATGTCTAATTCCTGTTGGACCCGGTTTTGGCACCTATCTGGACAGGCCCAAGCCCATCTGGAGTAATCACTAACTCGACATCGAGCCGGACTCTACGAGGTCGAAGATGAGATTCCGGAGATCGCGGAGACGGTTAGAGGACAAAGGGTTTATAAAAAGAGAGCTATAATGACATTCAACGACATGAGAAAAACCCTAGAGCAATTTATTAATCACATCAACCTCATTCTTTAGATTTCTAGTTCGCTCTCTTGAACTCTTTGTTGTTATTTCGATCTTGTTCATCACCTTGTAAACGAATATATTCAAAAAAAAGTCCATTTTTCTCAACCGAAATCCGATTATATAGTTGTGTTTAAGAGCATTGTTGCCCACATCCTTTGTCTTCCCCTGATTGAACTCTTGATCTCTACAAAATACTGAGTGTGGATTTTAGGATCTACATTTTGGCGCCGCCTGTGGCAGAAGATAAACGAAACACCCTTGCTAAGAACTCGATCTAGAATTTCTAAGAACGATTATGGATCCCAACGCAAACATCCCCAACAACGTCCAATCAGGATCGACCGACGCCACTCCCACCCGAAAATCCTCT